ACTGGTAGACTAGTTCTACCTCTCTGCTTACTTATATAATGTCATCTGATAAATTTAAAAATACCAACATTAATAATAATGATGATGATAATGATGATAATTGTGATGATGATGATAGTGATGACGAAGACGATGATGATGGTAATGGTGATGATGATAATGGTGATGATAATAATAGTAATAAAAATAACAAAAACCATTTAATTTTTTGTGTTGTCATTGTTATATAATTAATCGAAAAATGTTGCCCATGTGACAGACGGTCAGAATGAAAGAATACATTTGTTATTTATTTTTAAACATTGATTGACGTAAACTGGTGTGTATGTGTGTGTGTGTATGTGTGTGATTGTTTGTGTGTATGTGTATTATTATGTGTGTGGGTTGGTTTGCGCGTGTGCGTGTGTGTACGCACAACATAGTGTTCATATAACACGCATAAACTTATGCAAAATGCACACACACATACACACACACACACACACACACACACACACACACACACACACACACACATACATCTCATCTCACACACGCACGCACGCACGCACGCAAACACACGCAGTTTGATCGATAACTATAAACAAGATCGATTTAAATTTACTCGTTTCTTCTGAATTTTGAATGAAGCATCCCGCCATTTTGCTCAATAACAATGGGATAAAGGGAGAGAGAGAGAGAGAGAGAGAGAGAGAGAGAGAGAAAGAAATAGATTGAGAAAGAGAGAAGAAATAGATTGAGAGAGAAAGAGAGCGAGAGAGAGAGAGAGAGAGAGAGAGGAAATATAAAAAGACAGAACAAAATATTCTGAAAAGCGAAAGGTAGGTTGCGAATAAACTATGAGTAGAAGGAGTAACGTAGGGAGAGAGAGAAAGAGAGAAAGAAAAGAGAGAGAAAGAGAGAGAGAGAGAGAAAAGAGAGAGAAAGAGAAGAGATAGAAAGAAAATAAGAAAAAGAGAAAGTGGATAATAATAATAATAATAATAAGAAAGAGAGAGAGAGAGAGAGAGAGTTTATTTATATTATTATTCAAACGAATGAAAGACGGCGAGACCTATAAAATTTGGACTGTTAAATGAGTTACATCTACTAGTTGCCATTGATTTGAAGCATGTATTGTTGTTGAACTATATATATATATATATATATATATATATATATATATATATATATATATATATATATATATATGAAATTTCACCACAATTTTTTGAGTTTTAGAATAAATTAGAAATAAATAAATAATTGAGTGAGTGTTCAATTGAGTGAGTGATTAATTGATTGATTGATTAATAGATTGATTGATTAATTAGTTGGTCAATACACTGATCGTAAATAAATTCGTGTGAGTTAAAGTATAAATAATTTTACTACAAAGAATTGTACAACAACGAAAGCAGCTACAACAAATCTTACCAGTTGCTGTTATTACTACTACAACTGCTAATTAGAATATTTATATTCTTATTTTTATTATTATTATTATTACTAAAAACAACAATAACAATAATGGGTGTTTTTTCAATGTGTTTTTTCTCACATTATCATCCAAGAGAGAACGAGAAACGTTTTAATAATAATAATAATAAAAATAATAATAGTAATAATAATAAAGTTGATGATGATGAAGATAGAGTGATTGGGAAAAAGAAAGAAAGGATGACGATGATGATGATGATGATAAAAAGGAGGAAGAAGAAAAAGAAGAAGAAATGGTCTGATCGTGGAGGTGATGGAGTTTCTAAGGCGATCATGATGACGAGGGCGATTATAGTGGTGATGATGATGATGTTGATGACGATGATGATGATGACGATTATAGTGATGATGTAATAATGTCGCATTTTTCGGCCACGGTGATTAACATATTGTCTTCATTTTCGTTTCGCACATTAACATTATATTTGCATATTCATAATCATCATCATCATCATCATTATCACCATCAATTCTGTCATAATAATCATAATTATCTTTACTTTTTGTCCACAGAAGCTACTGCTATTGCTACAGCGATCGAGGACAACCACAACAATCCCAACAACAACAACAGCAGCAACAACAAAACTAGCAACAACTATCTCGACAATTTATCAACCATCAAACGCAATTTGAGTCTTCGGCAGCAGCAGCAGCAGCAACTACAGCAGCTACAAAAACCCTCACGTTCTATTTTCAGCCCTCAGGGAACCAATCAGGTCTCGCCGCTGGTCGTAGCCCCGCCCCCACTTAATGTTTTCGGCCCTGCCCCGAATGACGTTGATGATGATGATGTTTTCATGTTTAAGGGGGTCACCACACCCTCTCTGTCCTCATCATCGTCTTCCGTTGTTAAAAGTGAGATATTGATGAGAGGAAGAGTGAATGCGTGAATTGTTGATGATGATGATGATGATATTATGTTACAATACAACTCTATTTACATACACACACACCTATTTGTATGATCTTGAAAAAAAGAAAGAGATAGGAAGAGAGAGAGAGAGAGAGAGAGAGAGAGAGGAGAGAGAGAGAGAGAGAGGAGAGGAAAGAAAAAAGAAAGAGAGATCGAAAAAGAAAGAGAGAAAAAAGATAACGTAGGAGTAAGGATGATGATGGGATGATGATGACAAAAATGAAGAAGAAGATGACGAAGATGATGATGAATAACCATTAAGCAACCGCACAGAAATTATGTAGTACATGAGTTATAGAAATGTATGTTTTCCAAAAATGTATGTTTTCCAAAAATGTATGTTTTCCAAAAAACTCTAAAAGCCTGAGATGAATAACTTTAAATAGTGAGGAAGAAGACAGAGTATTTAAATAAATTTTGTGATTGGTTTTCTTGGTCTTCTAATATCGTTTTATGCTTAAAGGTTTCAGATTTATGGATATATACACACACAAACATAAACATCGAACATACAAAAACGTACACTTACATACACACAAACATACACATATATATACACACACACATACATACAAACAAACATACACACATACAAGATAAAAAAAACAAGGCCGTTTTGTATGTAAGGAATTTACATCCTGTCTAATGCTTCGTTCCCTCGATACACACGCAAATGTACAACCGCGTAAACGCACGCACACACGCACACAAACACATATACATACACACACAAAAATACATACATACATGTATATATGCTTACATTTAAATAATTATATATATATATATATATGTGTGTGTATGTGTGTGTGTGTGTGTGTGTGTGTGTGTGTGTGTGTGTGTGTGTGTGTGTGTGTGTAGTAGACAACACGACAACACAATACACGTACCTACATGTTTTACAACGCACGTAAGGATGAATATATTTTCCAACTTTTACTTCTTTTTTTAATCTCCCTCCTTCTTTCTATCTTCTATATTCTTTCGTTTTTTATGCTTTCGTTCTCTCTTTCTTTTTCTATAGGTTTGTCTAGTTGTCTGTCTGTCTCTCTATCCGAAGTCTCTCTCTCTCTCTCTCTCTTCCTATCTCTCCTACTTTCAGTTTCTCCTTTTTTCTTACCCGACATAATAAAATACGCATACAGTGATAATGGTGTATTTATTGAGGTACTCTTAACTCTATTTCATACATTTATGTATTCTGGTATATATTGGGTTTTAATGGGTATGTATGTATGTATGTATGTATTTGTATATGCATGTATGTATATGTATGTATGTATGTTTGTGTGTGTATGTGGGCATGTTTGTTTGTGTATGTGTGTTGACTGAAAATTTCTTCGTTGTTTATTTATGATTCGTTTTATGTGAGGTGTTAAATTCTCGTTACTTATGACGGGTCAATTTTTGTATTTTTTTGTATTTTTGTAATTTTTTGTATTTTTGCCTTTTGTGTTCAGTTTTTTTAGTATTGTATTAACACACGCTACAAACAAACAAATATACAAACAAATACAAACAAATCTACAAACAAACAAATACAAAGAAACATACAAACAAACACAAACAGATATCGCAAATTCCTCGCTGGATCAACGTGACAGTGGTGTCTCATCTAGTTTTTCAGTAAACAACAACAATTTGGTTTGTATTTTTTTATCATTTTGTATTGTATGGTTTGATTTTTTTGTATTTTAATAAGCTGCTATTTTGTATGTTGCTTTTTATTTTATTGTATTGTATTTTCGTTAAATTTTTACATATTTTGTATTATTTTTAAAGTAGAGTCATAAATTTCAATCATTTTTTTTCGAAATTTTAATCTTTATCTCGCTCGATGTTTGCTGGAAAAATAGTTTTTCATTATTCACGAATCGTTTTTTGTATTGTTTTGTATTATTTTTTTCAATCATGTTATTGTTTTGCATCATTCTGTGTTTTTTTCCAACTAATTTAGAACGCAATTCTCCGGCTTTTAAAGTAGCGTGCCTTCTCTTGTTGAAATTTTATACCGACCTACTCTAGACTTGCTTATTTGCATTAAAAAAAACAAAAACAAAAAAAAACAGTTAAACTTAACAAAAAAAAACAAAACAAGCAACAACATCTTCAATGAACAACTACAACAAAACAACAACATCTTCAAAGAGCAACTACATCAAAACAACAATAGCAGCAGCGTTTTATTATTCACATTTATACAATTCAAAACCGTCCAAACAACATACAAATGAGCTTTTAATACTCAAGTACATACGCAAAGTAATAACACCAATAAAACCGAAATAAACTACCAAAAAACAAATTAATATACTCAAAATACAAAAACATTTATGTATGTATGTTTGTTTGTATGTATGTATGTGTATGCGCGTGTGTGTGTGTATTCATGTACGTGTTTATGTATGTCTGTATGTTGTATTACATCGAGTGTGCACGGGTGCATGGTTGGATGACTCAGTGATGGATTGGTGCTTTTATTAAAAAATAATTTTGAATTATTGATTTGCGTTGTGTGTATTCATGTATGTATGTATGTATGTGTGTATGCATGTGTGTATGTGTGTATGGGTGTATGGGTGTATGTAAGTGTGTCCATGCGTGTGTTGTGCATGTGCAATTGTGTACTTTGTAATGAAGTGTTTTTGCTGTTTATGGTTTTAATATTGGTTCTTAATATTTATTCAATTATTCATTCATTCAATTATAAATTTATTTATTCATTCATTCACTCATTCTTACATTCATTCGTTCGTTCTTTCGTTCTTTCGTTCTTTTGTTCGTTCGTTCGTTTGTTCGTTTGTTCATTCATTCATTCATTAATTTGTTAATTCAATCAATCACATAATCAATCATGAACTCTACCGCTAACAAATTTAAGTTGAACAGAAATCAATCAGCTGACCTACTTTCACCTCTGACCAATAAGATGGCCGCTTTCGACTTGACCCAAATACAACAACATCCGGTCAGCCCTGGATTTCTTCAACATAATTATCATAACCGCATCAACAGTTGTGGTGGTGCTAGTGACAATAGCAGTACTAGCAATGCTTCGGTGTGTTTTTTTCCTTAAACATTTTGTAGAAATAATTTTTTGAATGTTTTTTTGTAATTTTTTTGAAAGTCGAAAACCTGTGGGAGTAACAACTCCTTGCTCCATCATCATCATCAGCAGCAGCAACAACAACAACAATCGTCGTCGTCGTCGTCGTCATTTCATTTTCCATCATTACTATCGCCAGCGACAACATCAACGACAACGACAGCAGCGACAAACAAACACCTCATAGCTACCATCAACACTCCTATCCACAACAACATTATCAACAACAAAACAAACCGACTCTCCGACCAATCCTACGAATCAGGCGTATCGACGTCATCACGACAAAGCTACCACAGTAACGGCAGCGGCGGCTGTAGCAACTTGGCAGCTGCTACAGCAGCTGCTAACAGCTTCAGCAGCTGCAAAAGCAGCAACGGTAGCGGTAGTTTTGATGACGCTACCTATTCGACGATTGGCAATTTTCCTGATTTAATTTCGCAAGGAATACCGGTTTGTTTGTTGGCGATTTGGGTTTGGTTTTGGTCTGTCTGTCTGTTTGTCTGTTTGTGTATGTACACACACACACACACACACACACACACACACACACACACACACACACACACATATATTTTTTCATTCATAATTTGTTGACTTGATCAATTTCGCCAGATTGTTAAGCTATTTTTTTAACTTTTCAAGCATTCATATCAACTTCTTATGTTCGCTATCTAGATAGTCATTATTTTTCCGGGAGTCATTTTTTTTTAAATTAGTTAATTTGATAATTAATAATAACAATAGTAACATTAATAATAATCATAATTATCATAATTATAAATAATAATCATAATTATTGTAATTATTATTATCATTATAATAGGACCAAGAGGTGTTGGTGAACTGGCTGAATAGCTTTCATATGTTGGACCTCGCTCAACTCTTCATAGACGCCGGTTACGACATGGCTACTATTACTAAGATGACTCCTGAGGTTATGATGATGGTCATGATAATAATGATGGTGATGATCATGATGATGATTATGAGGATGATGACGATGATTTTCATAACTGACAAGCGGATTGATTGATTGATTGATTGAGCGATCGATCGTTTGGTTGCTCAGATAGCTGACTGATCGTTCGATTAAATGAGTAATTCATTCTTTCATTCATTCATTTGTTCATTCATTCATTCATTCGCTCGTTCGTTCGTTCGTTCGTTCGTTCATTCATTCATTCATTCATTTATTCATTCATTCATTCATTCATTCATTTATTTATTCATTCATTCATTTATTAATTCATTCATTAATTTATTCATTCATTCATTTATTCATTCATTCATTCAGGACTTAAACGCAATTGGTATTACGAAACCAGCGGTAAGGAAGAAAGTGAAAGTGGAGATAAATAAGTTGAAAGTACCTGACGGGGTACCGAACTTTATACCGGTTGGTTGGCTGGTTGGTTGGTTGGCTGGTTGATTGGTTGGTTGGTTGGTTGGCGGATTGATTGGTTGATTGATTGGTTGTTTGATTGATTGGTTAATTGATTGGTTGGTTGGCTGGTTGGTTGATTGATTGATTGGTTGGTAGGCGGATTGATTGATTGGTTAATTGATTAGTTGGTTGGCTGGCTGGTTGATTGATTGGTTGGTTGATTGATTGGTTGGTTGGTTAGTTGATTGATTTATCGGTTGTTGTGCTAATTGGTTTTTTGAATGGCTAATTATATTTATTTTTAATTTCAAAGCGAATTCAATTTTTAAATTCACACAAATTTAAAGCAATCAATCAACAATACTTACACATCAGGGAAGCGTTTATGATTGGCTGACCATTTTAAATCTCTGCCAATACGAAGAGACCTTATTAGGTCAAGGTTACAAAGACATCAACAGCGTTATGCAGATTACCTGGGAAGATCTTGAGGACATTGGTGTCAAGAAATTAGGTCAGTGATGATGATGATAACAATGATGCTGATGCGGTTATTGTTGTTGATGATGATGACAATGATGAGGCTGATGATGATAATGATGATTATTTAAAAATCTAAAAATAGGCCACCAGAAAAAGTTAATGTTAGCAATCAACCGCTTGAAAAAACTTCAATCATCCGAGCCAATCAGCTTAAGTAACACGTGTTTGGCCCCAACCAATCATCAACCGACCAATCAGGTAATTGTATTGAAGTTCAGTCAACCAATCAGTCAATCAGTCAATACATCAACCAATCGACCAACCGACCAAGCAATAAATTATTCATTTGTTTATTTACTCATGAAGTCAATTTATTATTTATGCATTCATTTATTTCAAACATATAATCAATATTTAATTAAATTTTATATTATATTTAATCAGCTAATCAATTCATGAATCAGTCAACCTATCAAATATATCCCACAAGCAATCAGCCAACCAATCAACATCCAGGTACCAAACATCCTGTTTAACCAACCAACCAATCGGTTGATGAATAAAAGTCAGTTCCTTAAACTGCAAACCCCGGCTGACAACATCAACAGCTTCAACCAACCAATCAATCAACTCTCCTTCAACCAGCTAACCAATCCACTTCCATTTAATCAGTCGTCAATCGCTCAACTGTCTCCGCGTTACATTGAAAATAAGTTTAGTGTTTTCAACCGTGGAGATGACATTAATATTAATGATATCATCAACAACAACAACAACATTAGCAACAAAAATAATAACATCAACTATATAAACAACAACAACTTCTTTTCGGATGATTTTGACTGTCATTACGACAATCTCAATAATTATAAACTCCAAGAAATCATCAACAACAACAACAGCAGCAGCAACAACAACAACAACACATTGCAAAGACTTAATGAGCTCTCAAATTTATCTGATTTCATTATGACCAATGCTGCTAGCTTGAACGCCTGGAAGAATAAAATTCAACAGCAACCATTGCGCAACAACATCAAAATTAACAACATCAATGACATGAATAATAGCAACACTAATGACAATATGAAGATTGAAAATACACCAAATAACATCAATAACAGTAACAGTAATAATAATAATAATAATAATAATAATAATAATAATAATAATAATAATACGCGCTTCGTTATTGGCGACAGTTACGACAGCGATGAATTGGCAAGGACGGCGTTTTCGTCTAAAAACAGCGCGAATTTTTTGTTGCGAAATGACGTCAGACTGAGAAACTCCGCCGAGAGAACATTCTGTAGCAGCAAACTGCAGCAGCAACAACAACAACAAAGACGATTTTCGCCAGACTTCGCGACAAATTTTTCCAACAACAACAACAACAACAAAATTTTATTTACAAAAAGTAAGAATAACAATAACAACGTTGTTGATATAAACAATAACAATAATAATAATAACAATAGTAATAATAATTACGATAATGTCAATAATAAGAGAAATGATGGTGATGTTGTTTTTAATGATTTGACGCCGACTGATGGACGAAGAAAAAGTTTCAACATAAACAATGACGTCGCTAATGACGTCACTAACAACTGCAGCGTTGAAAATCCTTACGAAATTATTGGTAACGGTAGCAGCAATTGCATTAACTCCCTCCTAAACCACTACATCAACAACAACAGCATCAACAACAACAACAACAACAACAACTGCTCTTACGGTACTTTGCCTAGAAAACCGTCTCTAAACGCAACGATCAAACGCAAGCCGCTACAACATCCACAACCACAGCAGCAGCAAGCCACTGCAATCGACAGCACGCTACCGTCGCCGTTGTGTCTGCGAGACGCCGATGCCACACAAAAACGCGCGTCTGATGAACTGAATGATCTGACGTTGCGCCAGGGACCCTATGCTTCAATACCACGGAATAATGATGACGCCATCAACAACAACAACAACAACAACAATAATAACATCAACAACAACAATGACAATGTCGTCATTCAAGCAAACAGTATTAATAATAGTAATAATATTTGTTGTAGTAACAGTGGTAAAACTATTAGCAACGATAAAAACAGTTGCAGTAATTTCAGTAAAAGTAATGTGTTGGTGGACAAAGAAGAATGTTTGTATGGTAACGGTGCCGCATTGTTGGACAACAACAACAACATCAACAACAACATCAATAACAACAACATCAACAACAACAACAACAAAAACATTAACAACAACGTCAACAATCTTCAGCAGAAGAAAAAACATCCGATTCTTGTGAGCGCTCAACAGCAGAAACCATTACAACCCCCACAACTTCAGCTACAACCACCACCGCCACCACTAAGAAGCGACAGCTTTCGCGGCGACTCACGCTTAGTAGTAGCCGACGAAAAATTGCGACTCGCAGCTACCCAGCAACAATTGCTGCTACAACAAAAACGGTTTGCTCAACAACTTTTACAACAACAGACACAGAACAACAAAATCGATGACATCAACAACAACAACGACATCGACTGCAGCAGAAAAAAGCGTAGCGGTAGTGGCAGCAGCAGTAGTGACGACTCGGATGGCGGTTTGAAAAGAAATAATTCGTCCGCCAGTCTAACTTCAACTGACACAAACACGCTACCATTCGCTAATGAAGACGTCGGAACTATAAAACAACGAAACAACAACAACAACAATAATATAACAACTAATACTACAGCAACGACAGCCATTAACAATAATTATGATAGTAACAACAATCATTATGATAATGTAATCTGCAACATTAACAACAACAACAACAGGTGCTTATATGAATGAAAGGATGTATAAATAAATGAATGAGTGAAACCTTACCATACATTTCCAATAATTTTTAGCTTAACTAATTATAATAATTTATTAATAAATTCACGCATCTAGCTCCGACCTTGTCTTTAATGATATTGACGGCATGCTTATGGGCCTAACCCAGGAACTGGACGCCATGTTGAAATTGAAGCTATGACGTCACCGCCGACAAGAACAACAACAACAACAACAACAACAACAATAATAATAATTGTTATAATATAATTATTATTGTTATTCAGTCATTCAATTTCCTTTAATTTCGATTTTTAGCTTCGAAGGAAATTTTGTTAAATAATAATTTGGCGTGATAGAAAACATACGACTTTAAATAAATATAGTAATACTGATATTAATTCTAGTAATAATAATAATAAATAATAATAATAATAATAATAATTAATAATAATAATATTACGTGAAGATTATTGTCACAAGAAATATTTCGGAATGGGTTTGGTCTGTTGGTTTGTAGTTGTGTGCGTATATATGTGCGAGTTCGTGTTTGTATGTGTGTGTGTGTGTGTGTGTGTGTAGTGTATGTGTGTGTGTGCATGCGTGTGTGTGTGTGTGTGTGTGGTGTGTGTGTGTAAACATTTCTATCAAATTATTTGATATTGGATACAAAATGATAATAGTTAATATTGATGTTCATTTATTTTCAAAGAATTTACCGTTATAATATTTATTTATTTTCAAAGAATTTACTGTTATAATATTTTAATGTACGTTAATATTATCTTATTGTTTATATTCTTTTATGTTGGAGGATTGTATTATAATTATAATTATTTTATTATTATTATTTTTATCATCATTACGTCATCATCTTCGTTTTGTTCTTAATTATAAGTGCCTTTTAAATAATATATAATAATAATAATAATAATAATAATAGTTGGAAGAATATTAATATTATTGATAGTATTATTATTATTCATATAAGAATTTTTCAAAAATTAACGCCGCTGAGAGCTAATAAGTTTGACTTTTCGGAATAAAATTTTCATATTCTAGTAAAATTTTCATTTTTTAATAATATAAATAATAATAAGAGAATAAATAATAATAATAGATAGGTCTCCGTTTGTGCCTTAGTTCACTGTTGAATGTACGATTATCCTTGGCACTCTTCTATACATCTGATCTATTTCGTATTATTAATAATTTTTCTTTCACTAGTCAACTGTATGCTGATGATTCTTATATTTATACTTCTTTTCCTCCATTTAATCTCAATAGTGTTCTTCATAATTTATCATCTTTCTTCAATTACCTTTCTTCATAATCTTTCTTCAATTACCGCTTGGTCTGACTCTATGTGCTTAAGCTTAATCCTTCGAAATTTGAATTAATTTGTCTTAATAAATCTAAACACCCTATTAATATTTTTTGTATTATCTTACCTGATTCTAAAACTTTTGATGTATCTCACAAGTTTCGTAGTCTAAGCTTTATCTTTGATTCTACAATGTCTCTCTCTTCTCAGATTAATAGTGTTGCTAGAAGCTCTTACTTTCATCTACGTAGAATAAAAAAACTTTTGCCTTTTCTTGATGATCCTACTCTTCTCCTTCTTGTTACTTCGTTAGTCTTTTCTAGGATTGATTATTGTAACTCGCTCTACTATGGTCTTCCTGATTTACACTCTATCTTTTGAATAAAGCTTTTAACTTCGTGCTCGTGCCCCTTTCTTTTCTCACATATCTCCATATCTTGTTCTCTTGCACTGGCTACCAATAAAATATAGAATTATTTTTAAAATTTGCACATTTATGTATAAGTCTCAATCTAAATTATTTCCTAAGTACTTATCAGATATATTAATTGAACCTAAACACGCCGGTTGGCGATCGTCTTCATGTTCTCACTTCTTCTTAACTCGTATTGAACACTCTTTTTTCTAAATCTGCATTTGCTTTTAATGGCCATTTTCTCTGGAACTCTCTACCTCCTTCTCTGACTACTTCTCCATCACTTACGAAGCTCAGAGCGGACCTCAAGACCCATCTGTTTGCAAGATTCACCGAGGAGCGCTGTTGAACATCGCGAAAATAGCGCTTTAAAACTAATTGATTGATTGGTTCAAAAATATCAACATCATATAATATTATAATTTTTCACGTCGTTTTTTAAAAAAAATTTCAAAATGAAAAATTCAATAGAATAAATAACCGAATATGTACATACAAAATGAGTATTTATACGCACATGATATGCAAATACCCACACATATAAAAACTATCTCTCTTTTTCTCTTTCTCTCTTTCACACACACCACACACACACACCAAACACACACAAAATTACAAATTGCCAATACTTAC